ATTCCAATATAAGGTAAAAACTAAGTCACTCAGCAATCATCACTATATAATGACTATCGATAAATAACAAGTCTGATGAGTTGCAGGGAGAAAACTAACAACAGAAGTAAAAGCTCATGAAATCAAATTGTAAGCTGAAAATTTTAATATTACTAAATGCACAGCAAGGCATGCTACTGAAAAGTATATATTTTGAGCAAGTCACTATAGCAGACCCTATGCAACCACCAAAAGTACCACTATCATTTGTATTAGAGTATTAACATATCCAAATTCAGGTAGAAATTAGCAAGACACCAAGACCTGGCACTAGGGGTGCTAATCGAGTTGAGCAGCTCGGACTTGACTCGGTCAAAGCTCGGCTCGAGTTAGCTCGACTCGACTCGACTCGAGATGTTAACGAGCACGAGTTGAGCAAGGTCTAACTCGACTCGATAAGCTCGTGAGCAACTCGATAATATATTTTATTAATATAGAATTTACAAACTAAGTTATTACCATGAACAAATTTGACACTTAATAAGAATTCATTTATATTATCAAAAAAGAAAGAGTAAATCTTTAATAATAAATAAAATAATTAAAAGAAAACTATATAAAGTGAAAAAAACAAATAAAGGCCTATAATTTTAGAAGGGCCAAAACTTAAACGAGCAGATCATGAGCTACTCGACTCGAGTCGAAACTTTAACGAGCACGAGTCGAGCAGGTTTTATTGGTTCGAAACTTTAACGAGCACGAGTTGAGCACATGAAAAAAGTTTTCAAGTCGAGTTGAACACCCCTTACCTCGTAATCAACTCGCTCAATTAGCACCCCTACAAGTCTAGATGCAAGTATGTTATCAATCCTTACCAGCCTATATCTATAGTTTAGCTTTATTTAGAAATATTATTGTGACATGAGAACTCTTAGCCCCAAAAAAACACTGATGATTAGAGCATCCTTCTGAGTAACTTTTACTGCTACATATTTTGCATTGACTATATTCAAACTTCAGGTGCATCACTCACCTTTCGAACATCAAATAGAAGTAACCCAGAAAATTTGTTAATTTTTCTTTTCTGTTTCTTCTCTTTTGTTTAGATTTCAAAATTCAATGAGATAAAATTGACATTGACATGCTTCTAAAGGGAACAATCTATACTCCATGGCCAGTATACAAATGCAATTGAATACCTTAAAGCCACAATCCACCAGAAGTCCAAATGCATAAGAATCGGCCATTTACAATACTTTTTTTTTCATATCCGTGGCCAAAATCGAAGATCCTAAGTGTCCATACCAGCATAACAGTACCAAACACAAGTACAATTCGAATCAATGGATGCATATAACATTGTTCATGGCCCAAAACTCTCACACAATCGATAACAGGATCCCAAAACTCTCACATAATTGATAACAGGATAGAATTAAATAAGTCAAAGGTTCATGCTAAAAGATACTAGTCTTACTACTAAAGCATAGTCACTTGTACAAAAACAACAAATTAAGCAATACCAATCTAATTTAGATATCATTATATGTCTATTACTCTAAGTCACAAACTGTGTTAAATACTCAAACACTCCGACATGGGTATGACACTAGGAAACTTCATCTTGTACCAAAACCATGCAACGATTTTCATATTTCGTTGTAAAAACACTTGGACACATACCCGTATCAGACAATTCCAGCCAAGTCCAAGTAGAATAGCCTAAAATAGTAGTAAATATATATCTAACATATACATGTTCAAAAAGCAAATCTAAATAAATCTAGCTAGACCCAATTTCTATAAATATATAATCTTTATATGCAATAGGAAATTGTCATTAATAAAGTGGCAAATATCAACAATAACACAAACAATCAATAAAAACATTGAAATAACAAGTATAAATCAAAAGCATGAACACACAAAATTCATAAAGGTACATATTATAATTATAACAATCAATGACCAATAAAACCAAAATTAAGGATAAAATTACCAAACAAATAAAATTTAAAAAAAAAAAATTAAAGGGGAGTTAGAGAATTTACCTGAAAGTCAGTCGTTTTGACTGGAGGGTCAGAAGAAATGGCAGAATTTGCCGCCATAACAACCCCTTCTAAAAGCTTAGAAAAACTAGGATAATTGGATTTATCTTTTGAAGAAGATGAAGCTAAAGTTACAGAATTTGAATCAGATAATTTATTTTTGGTTTCAGAATTTAATTCTGGGTTAGTTTTTATCTGGGGTTTTGTTTCTGCCTCCATTGAAAAACCAAAAAAAAAAAAAAAAAAAAAAAAAAGAGCAGGGGAGAAATGCAGGGGAAAGTAAGGAAATAAAGGGCAAAAAATACAGAGAAAAATTAAGAAAAAACAGAAAATATGAAATTATGGAGAATAGTTTCGTGTTTGAAAAGAGAAATTAGTTGTGGGATTTTTTCTCTTTAAAAAAAACAAATATTGTTAGGAAATTGAGAGAGAGGGAACTGGAAAAAGAGAGTGGTTTTTGTACTTTTGACTAGAGTTGACCAGGCGGTTGCTTTTGTGGGATGACATTGATTGAGGGAATACGTACACTACACAAATGTTGTGTGTCTACTCACTTGATAATTTTTCTTTTGTACCCTATTTATCAATATTCTTTGACTATATGTTATAATTTACAATTTTACAAATATACTTTGACTATATGTTATAATTTACGATTTTACGAATATACGTTAACAAGATTATAGTCATACTAGATCTTAATAAATTTTTCTGGTAATATAATTTTATAATACAAGAGTTAATTTTTTATAATTTTTAATCTTATATATTTATAGATATTTAACATAATTACATATAAAATGTGTTTTTAGATGTGTAATCTCACCCTCCTTACAATATTATGAAATTTTTGGGATGACGGTTATGCAAATGTTGATATCTTTATGGTAAGGGAAATAATCTCGGTCAAACCTTAATTATTATGAATTTTTTGGTCAATATTTTATTTTAGCAAATGCTTTTAATTGCATTCGGGTGTACTTAGATCTATTAGTGACAAAGGGTATGTTTTGATCATTTTTTAATTTTATTGATCTTATAATCTTTATATTAGCAAATATTATCAATTGAGCATAATTATATCTTTCATTGTGTATAGCTCTACTTGCATCTTTATTGATGAATTTCATCCGGATACACATAATAGACATTCTGATATATCTATTACTACTTACATTGCATGTAAGTTTTTATCTGTAAATTTTGTAGAGAATACTCTTGCTTTTTGAATATTTTGTTTTGGGTTTATTTTCAAAGATTAATACTGTAAAGCCTGATCATACTTCAAGTTAGATATTCCATTAATCCCATTGTTCTAACAATTATCATAAGTACTCTCTCGGTCGTTCCGTAACACAAACACAATACACATATCATATTTAACACAATACACATCATATTTCAAGATTTTCAAGATGTGCAATTTGCCATCAATATCTTTAATTATGTATTATCAAAATTATAAAAATGTTGATATTATAAAACTACAGATTACTACGTAAAATGAATCAAATGATAATCACACATCACAATACCTATACTTTTTTGTATATATTGCTCCCTCATTTCTAATTGATTGTCACATACTCACATTTATAATCTTTGAATATTCCAACGTTCATGGAAGCTAAGGGTCGTGACTCGTGGCGGATCTTATAAAATCCGTCTTATTTTCTTAGACATACTTGTATATAATTTGTGTTTTAAATTTTAGACATAAAAGTAGTAATATGACAAATCAAAGACTTGGAATAATTTATGTCAATTTTTCCAATGATCTAAGACTATCAAATTAGGAACTTTACCTTTTTTTTTTTAATAGTAAGTAGGAACTTTACCTCTTATAGTCTTATTGATACCACAAAATTCAAAAGAGTAAATCACAACTTTGACCGGTCATTCTAACTTAATTTGAGTAATTTCTAACCAATCCCTATCGTTTGGGGTATATTTTCTCAAACAAAATCAAAGTTTACTACTTCGTATTAAATCTTGATCCATATGAAATTAAGTGCAATATTTGACTTTTATGGTCAAATTTTTTGATTTTGACCTTTAATCAATATATGAACAACCAACCATAAATACCTTCAAATGAGATATTCTTAAATTTGTTTAAATATAATTCAACATTATATATAATCAAAGATATTAAATGTTAAAGATAAAGTTTTGATATTGTTTAAATATTGCATATCTAAACAATATATAAAGTCAAATGTTACACTTAATTTGGAACGTAAGAGCTAAGGGTTATGTCTTCCATGTCTTTTGAATTTTTTATTTTGCTCATCACTTTAGCTAGCTGTTGTTGCACCACAAAACTGTTTGAGAAGCCAGATGTTTCCTCAGTATTAAGGAATGTGCTAGAACATTGCCACCTTTACTCATCATTATTAACAAATTGATTCACTTTCCTTTTCATTTGTGATTACTAATAGGAGACTAAGATTATTTTGAATTAATATATTCCTATTTGCCCTTTTTCCTAAACTCCAATTGTTCCTCATTATAATAGTTCAAATTCATAAAAGAAACAGTCATTTTAATCTATTGGTTTATCATGTAATCAGAAACTGGTGCTCCATTTGACTGTCATTTTAAATACTATAAACTGTATAAAGTGAGAATCATATAAAGTTTATAGCATTAACATTATACTAATCACAATTCGAGATTATGTTGAGGGTTAATAATCATAATCTCATGGTTACTAAGAAGATTAACAAGAATCTAGCCGTAAAGTTACTTAGAATACGGCAAACAAATTGTACGATCAACCTGAAAGTGCCTGCTATCCATGCAGGCTATGCTGGTTGGGGCGGGCAGGACTGATGGTCCGAGATCTGTCCAAGCCAGGTAGCCTCAGGCTAACCCAACTTCAACTCATGATGCACTGAAATCACACCTAGGACCATGCATTATATTATAAAATCATATTCAACCCAACTAAGGGTTGAATATGCAGCAGAATGAAGTCTAATCTCATCGGACGCTTTATAAGAAAAGAATATGTTAAACACTGTTTACTGAATTACAAGATCCAAAGTCTGCAAAATTTTATAAATTTTTCTATAATTTCCAGTGAGAACTATCTTCAAGATTGTTCATATTTACAGTCCTCAATATCAATAGCAATAGTCCTATATTTTGCCAGCTAAAGCTACTGTAACTAGAAATCTAGACTAGAGGGATTATCAACCTGGGAAGTTACTGTATCTCTGCTGTAGCTACCTGCCGCTGCCCTCCGATGATGGTTCCGACTATCTCTCCTTGGATTGCTTTTGAAATGTCACCTTCTTTGTTTAGATTGAATACAACAACTGCGTCACATAATAGAAGTCTGTAAGATCTATGAAACTCAAGTTTTCACACTAATGATTTTTTGAAGTTTATAATCAGATGATACCTGGAATATTGTTCTCTTGGCACAATGTAATAGCAGTCAAGTCCATCACAGAGAGTTCCTTTGATATTACATCTTGATAGCTTAAGGTATCAAGCAGCCGGGCATCTGAGTTTTTCCGAGGATCTTTATCATAAACTCCATCCACATTTGTTGCTTTCAGCACAACTTCGGCATTAACTGTAACAATTACAAGCAGAAGCAATAAAGTGAGGAGACAACTTGATTCTCAAGCAACAACATTATTGATAAGATTCTGAATATTATAGAGTTGGAGCACAGGGAGGATAAAGATTTAAGCTTCAACGGATGACATTACAAAGAAAATGGAAGTAATAAATACACCCTAGTAGCTGAAGGAGCATTAGCATTAAGGTCCAATTTTAATAGATATATACTTGTGTATACTATATACCAACATCACAACTATTTCTGGGGCTACAGCTCGGATTAGCTTTTCCATATAGGATGCAATAAGTATGGCCATATGGGTCAAGCTCTACACAGCCCTGTTTCATCCAAAGGATGCAACCATGGGTCAATTTACAAAGCATGATTGCAGCAAATCTTTATTAAAAAAATTGCAAATCACAACAGAAATAAAAGTCACATCGATTATAGGAATGAAAGATGTGAAACAGCAAATTATGCGCTAGATTCTAGAGCTCAGGCACACTAATACTGTATTAATATAAGATTTAAAAAATCTTAACAATATATAGGATGCTTAAGCTTTTGGTAATCAAGAGAATTTGTTCACTGATGAAGAAGTATTAAGCACAGCAAACTCATATTAAGAATGACTTACTTTCAGCACATCGAAGAGCAGCAGCAGTATCTGTGGTGAAAAATGGATTTCCAGTTCCCGCCGCAAATATTACAACCCTCCCTTTCTCCAAATGTCTGACTGCTCTTCTACGTATGTAGGGCTCGGCAACCTCAGACATGCGAAATGCAGTCTGGACACGCGTTGGAATACCAATACTCTCCATTGTTGCTTGTAAAAATATAGCATTCATCACAGTGGCCATCATTCTGTAAAGACAGTCCAAAGAAAGCTGTCAACTGAAAGGCCAACAGCATGGTAAAACAGGAAAAAACCAATTTATTCATACGGAGTAAATTCTATGTTGTATATTTTCCAGCTCTATTGAATTTGTTCTTATTAGATTAATGTCATCAGAAGATATACAATCTATGAGAGGGGGGAGAGGAAAGGGAATACATAATTATATCAAGAAGACATCATGGTCGCACAACTGAATATATTTCATAAGACAGGCAGGAAAACATACTGTGCCGCATTAAGAAAGAACAAACAATAGAAGTGAAAATTTCCAATTTGGAAAAACATTCCAGAAGCTAAAATGTATATTTCTTTTCATCTCTAGCCTTACCACATAAAGCCTTAGGCAGTTTCAAGAGAATAAAATTATGACATAGAAAGAAAAAGGCATACCCAATATAATCAGCGGATGAACGGTCAAGGCCACTACAACCTGCCCAAGTAGATCCTCGAAAAATGTTTCCACCACCAACAACAATCGCTACCTGAGTAAGGCACAACATATATCAGAAGATAATAGTTGAAGGCCTAGAAGAAATTGGTCATTGAGCACAAAGGTTAGCCTATGTGACTAGAGCCTCACAGATCACAACTAAGGAGATGATTTATCTTTCCTCTATCCGATTAATTCTGCGATAAAAGATAGATGAATGCAATAGCTTCTATATGAGCACTAACGACTCTAAGTGAAGCTTCCATTCACTAATTTCCTTCCCTCTAAATATACATTTTCTCCTTTCCCAGCAGCAACAGTTAATAATGAGTGAATAACCTAATCCAGAGATGAACATAAACAGGGTATCCAGCTTGATCTGTTTCTACCATACTGTGTACTCCTTAATGTCATATAATATAGAAATGTATAATATATACTAATTTCACATTCATAAATTTTGTTGTAAATTTTGAAATAATTCCAGAGATTTTCAAGGCTTCAACACCAGGCTACAACATTAAAACCAAAGCTTTATTCCCAAAAGAATGTAATTGGTTGCATGAACCAAAAATCTATCTCCTTCAATACCAAACTGCCATCTAAATAAATTATAGGATTATACTAACGAATGGAAGAATTATATGTTTGGATATTAGTCAAAGAAATTACCTCAATGCCAAGTCTTGTAACTGAAGCAACCTCCCTTGCTATGGCCATTGTTACCTACATTTGAACAACAGTCATCTGATATATAAATATGTCCAAAAAAAAAAATGAATGTCACGACCAAGATATTTGGCAGTTTCTCTACCTTGGGATCTATGTTCTGAGCATTATCTCCTGCAAGAGCTTCTCCACTAACTTTAAGCAGCACTCTTTGCCATTTATATGATTGTTTGCATGCATTTTCATTTGATGACAATCCAAAAGATGGCATATGAACTTGCCTGTCAAAATCCATATGGTAAAGAGGTTTTAAATACTTCAAATCCACAAAAAGGAGACTATCCTTAATATTTGTGATTTTATTAACAATTACAGATTGATTAACCATTAACATCTTGGAACTACCATAGCACATAAACCCACATTTTTAATTAGGCTATTGGGGGAGTACGAAGCACGGTTCTCTAAAGAGATTCATAGACCATGAATATCCCTGAATAAGGTCACATCACTAATACTTGCTCAATCAGACTAGTATCACTTTTCATGGCTAAGGTTCTATGAACATAAGTTATACTTTTATTTCTGAAGGATCAACCTTTAAGGGCATAATGACCCACCACATTATTTCCAAAGGCCTACCCTTCATATATACAAGTTATAGCATAAACCACCCACCAGTCACCTGAAAAGCTCTTTAGTTCCAATTCCAAATTTGGTATATAACAGAACCACTCCGAATAGGCTGCAATTGAATCTTTTTTTTTTTTTTTCAGTCACACCATACATGTTCAAACTGTTTGATTGTAAGACTTGTAACCCAGCCAATCAATTGGATACCCTTCAAAGTTCAAACTTACTTAATAATGCCAGACAGTAAATAGCCAAGACATCAATTGGCTGTTGTCAATATGAACAAAACATTGTTTCAAAAAAAAAAAAAAAAAAAAAAAAAAAAAAAACACGAACAAAACATTAAGGAAACTACATTCACATAAACTAAGTTGGAAAATTTAACAAAAGAAATCAGCTGATCAAATCCACAAACACTATACTGCTCATCATGCTTAAAGAGAGTAAGCCACTAGAAGCCTAGAAGTGTACAACTAGCTAAATTTCAATATAGAATGCCTATAGGATACACCTAATAGTTATATTCTCCATAGAAATTCACCCTTACAATCCAGCTTGGGCCAATTACACTATACTAATATTCTGAATTGGACGACTGCGCAATATCTACATTCTTCATCTTTTAAAGCATTAAGGATAACATATTGTCATTGTAACAACCTATGTTATTCTAACTCTTCATTTCACCTCAAGTGCCCATGTTAGATACTTGACACTCAGACATGGATATGGCAATTCGATGCAAGGACTTAGGATTAATTAGATTGTAATAAGCAGATTTGCAAAAGGATAGAGCAGCAATTGGTTGTAATATTTAATCAGAGTAATCAAATATTACAGATAGGCCTTCTTTCGAGAGAAAGGTGCTCTCCAAATGCTACTCAATTTTCTGGATGCCCTTTACATCATCATAGCATCCAATATATACTGCTTACAGAAAGCTTCTACAAGGATCCACAACATCCCCCCTTGCTAACAGAATATTATTCTCTAAACAAAGAGACTAACAAACCCTTATAACCCCCTAACCAAATTACAAAAGCTCAAACAGATTTATTGAAAGCAAATAAAATATCTTGGGCTGAAAAAACGCATCTTCCTTCACTTGATTTGCTGGCGCTTCTTCCTAGCATAAGTCACCAGAATTGGAGGCTTGGGCTGATTGGGCTGATTCCTTGCATTCGACACTTCATTTTAGACCAAAACCATTCAATGTTTTCATAAAGCTGTGCCTAATACCCGGACACATACCAGCATTTGACACTTCGATCCAAATCATGAGTCTAACATAGGTCACAAGTTCACAACACAAAAACAACTTGCCAAACTCAAAACTTCATCACATTGAACAAGTAAATAATTAGTCAAAATATCTTCAAAATCGACCAACAATCTTGAACTTCACTCACATGAAACTCAAAATAGAAAGAAAAATTGTCATAATTGAAGACCTTATAATATAGTGGCTAAACTAATAAATAATTCCAAAATTCATAAACCCCATTAAAACCCCATCACAGAAACTCAATCATTTAAGTTACAAAAAAATTATCATTTCAATCAATAAATTAGCAACAATATCACGAAGCAACGACAAAAACAAGAGCAAAACCAAATTTGGGGGATAATATACCTGAAATTTGAATAATCGGAAGAAGAGGAGGAACCCGCATCAGAAGAATTACAATTTACCACAAATTTGAGATGGAAATTTCGGGAATTCACCATTAAACTTTTCCAGGGTTTATAGAAGAGATTTGAAGGCAAACATTGTGACGGTGAGGATAGAGAAAGCATAGTGTTAACTGAAGAACAGGGTGAATAACAAGAAATTGCCATTATCTTCTATTGTGTTTACAAAGTTTTAATCTTTTCTGATAGAATAAAAATGGGAAACTATACACTTCTTAGCTGAGGCCTTCAGGGTCATTTACTCACTGCAATTGGGAGTATAATGTAAATTCACCACTTTGCTCAAATTCGGCCTAGGTTTTTTTTTTCTTTTTTTTTCCTTTTTTTCATTTTCTAATGATAAGAAAATACAGAATACGTATAATATTGTTACTGTAGCGGTTTTAATATAAAGTCATTGATGACATTAGCATTTTTAATATAAAGTCGTTGATGACATTAGCGGTTTTAAGCTGAACTAAAATCTATATGACGTGGACGGCATTTTGAAAATTTGTTTTTAAAGCTATGCATAAGGGCATATTTCAACAATATTGAGAGGATTCCTTCAAATTTTATTTTTGTTTCAACTATTGTAGGAAATAGCTTAGAAATCGGATTCCTACATTGGTAAGTTGGAAACAAGAATGATGATAACTTTGCACAACAACGAAGAGGAATTGGGGTCCTTGCCTCCTTGCTATCATCAAAATCAATTGGGGTGAATTTTTAAATGTATAGATATAAATCGTATAAGGAAGAGGTTGTGTGTGAAAATTGTACATGTTAGATTTACAAGAATCACTACTAATCTTGATTTTGCCCATTTCATTCGAACTATTCCACAAGCTCAATTTAGTTTCTTAAGGATTAAAATAACCCTTAAAACCGTAATGGAATATTTATCGACACGCAAATCGATGAAAAAATGATTTGGGTTGCAATTTACAATTTATTAGTACTTTTGGGCTACAATTTGCAAAAAAATTTTAAAAATAACAGCAATTTACAAAATACAAACTTTAATTTGCTGCAATTGACAAATTTTCCTAATAATTACATAAACAAGCTTTTAGAAGAGTTATGGTTTTCACAATCATCACAAATTACCCTTAACACATATCTAACTATCTAATCATATTAAAATTTCCAACAACAAATGATTTATAGGGTACAAGTGTACAATCGATTATACTACATTAACGCTAACAACTTGCATGAGCATAAAGACATAATTTTAGAGTCAATCATTAAAATTTCTACACAGTATACCTCAGTTGTTCCCTTTTTCACGCTGTGTCCCCCCTTTTAAAAATTCTACGCTGTGTCCCCCACGCTGTAACCTCAAGGTCTATTTATTGGCTACGCTATAACCTTAACGTTAACCCTCTGTTACATATTGCCGTTAGTGGGGCCCACTTTACACCTATTTAACTTTTTTTCTCGATTTTCGTACTAAAAAAATGTTCCATTAAAAGGTTTTAGAGTTAATTTTTGCCTTAAGGTGCAAATTAAGCTCGGATTTTGCAAAAAAAGAACATAGAACCCCATTTTGTGAATTCGGATTTCCGTAGTTAAATTTAGAATTCACAAAACGGGGCTTTTACGTTTTTTTTTTTTGGTCAAATCCGAGCTCAATTTGGACTCTATTAGCCAAAATGACCCCTAAAACCTTTTAACGCAATATTTTTTAGCACACAAATCGAGAAAAAAATATATTAAAAAGTACAAAGTGGGTCCCACAAACGGTGACCGTTACGGTAAAATAACGACAAGGTCACTGTTGAGACATAATTGAAAGTTGAAGGTTACAGTGTGTAATTTTCAAAAGTTGAAAAAGTCAATACTTGAGGGTTATGGTGTAGAAATGTAGAATTTCCCTGAAATTACTAAGGAGTACTCATTATACACTGCAAGTGAAGAGAATAGGCAGAAAAGGTTTATAGAAAGTTGGAATTATAAGTAAATAAACAAAGATTAACAGAGATAAACCCTGCATTAGCAGCACCTGATCAATGTCAGAGAAGAGGGAACAAAGCCATGAATGGCATAAGTAACAATAATAGAGAATTAGAATTACACCAAACTAGATGTCAGATTAAAACAATGGCTTCTCTCATTCTCCATGATTAGAAACATGTTTGCTGGGAAATTAGTCTAGACTATCCAACTTTTTTCTGATGGATCCAACAGGAACAAAAGCATATTACCAAATTTTACATAACAAAAAACACAAAAGTATAAGTCAGGACGGCGATGACCAAAAGAAATCAGACCTGTCTTCCATTCATTGAATTGTTAGATGTCTCACTAAATGCACTCGTGTTGTGATGCAGGATTCTGATTTTTGAAGGTTACAATCAATCCATTTTGAGATATATCACTCGATACATGGATGAATTTACCAACAAACTCAATCTCAGTGGGTAGGGAACTCTTTGGAACAGCTAACAATGTTTGATATATCTTGTATTCCCGCCATAGTTGGTCTCTTTTTCGATCTTCATCAACATCACCATCATCATCATCAGAAAATTAAGGACTAAAACATTTGACTTACTAAGAACATATGTTAGCAACTTCTGATCATTGGCATTCCCCGTCATTTTAAATATTTCAAGCCTCTTGAGCTTACTAAACAAACAAAATGGAAAATAATTTCCAATATTATCAATATCATCAACACTATTGACGGGTTACATTACAGAATATTGATCCAACATCAACATCCAAGTAACTAAGGGCCTCGAAGAAACTTAGAGCATACTTTAGGCTAATAGACTCAACACCAGAAATCCTTTGAACAAGCGGTAGTAATTGGCTAAATATATTCGTACTTTGGCCGAATATATGCATAAAATCCCAAATGCAAACTTCTGCCTTAATCAATTTAGTTGGATACTTGACAAAGTTATAGTACCCAAGATAACCATCTAGCGAAAGGTGTTCCAGCATAGGTGTATCAATCACAAACTCGACGCCTCGTGACATCATTCGATCAATAACCAAGGACTTCAACATGGGTAATGATATATGCACCACTCCATCCTTGTACTCGTACATAAGTAATCCTAAAGACAGAACTTCCAAAATGGACAAGAATTGATAAGGAGAGGTGGGTGAGTTGAGTCCAGTGGTGGCGCCACCGATTAGAAAAGGCATGGAAAACGTAAATTCCTTGGAAAATTAGAATTTCGACAAAACTTAGGAATTAATTATTTCATTGTATCTTGGTCATTCAAACTTCCCATCTAGTTTTTGAATGATATTACCAAATTGAATAGATCCATTAGTTTACATCACATACCCCAGCAATGAACATGTTTCGGCCCTAGTCATATTAACTTGCTACTTAATTAACCAAATGTATTTTGACCAAACTTGATTACGGAGTATAATCCAAACCACTGCAAAAAGTTAAGGTTGTACCAATGACAACTTGCAAAAGCATAAAGTTAAGTTATCATTATCACACACATTCTAGAGAAATTCAAATTACTTGTACATTTTAGAGTAGTTCGTACTCAGTATTAAATTACTACCAGCATACTCTACGAGTGGAGAGAAAATGGCAGAGCAAGCTTAGTTTAGTTACTAGGCTAAGATTATTAGAGACAAACTAGAGAACAGGCTTATTTACAGAAGGAACAGGACATGAATGCATAATCAAGTTAATAACAGATAAATGAACTAAGATTAAAAGTGATAAACCATACATTATTCTTGTCGGAGAAGATTGAACAAGGACATGAGTGGCATAATTAAGTTAATAACAGATCGAGAATTGGAATTACACCAAACTAGATGTCAGATTAAAACAATGGCTTCTCTCATTCTTCATGATTCCAAGCATGTTCGATCTGCTGGAAAATTAGGCTAAACTATCCACCTTTTTCTGCCGGGTCAAACAGGAACAAAAGCATAATGCCATATCTTACATAAATATTAACAGAACTGTTAGTCAAGATAGCTACTGATTTACTGAATGAAAGATTGGTTAATATCAACAGAGCTGGGTCTCAAAACGAAGCGAAATACCCATGCTGAACAGCTCTTGACACAACAGCTTGGCCCCATATGGCACATTCACCTTCACGATTTCATCAACAGATTCGCAGAACCTGCAGTAAGGCCCTCGAATCTTTTTGCCACCTGGGACTGTCCTTTGGATCACATTTGCAATGTTCTTGCACTTCCTGCAAACATGCATCTGGGACGAGTCACTTAGAGTGAAGAGTCGCTCATGCAGGTTGGCTGAAGCACCATGGGCGATCAGACAATCCCGTTCCATTTCCCCAAACTTGATACCCCCGAATCGTTTCCTGTCTGCCACCGGCTGCCGGGTCAGTGGATGGACGGGACCTGTATTTCGAAACTTGACTTTGTCTTCAGACATATGGATCAGACGCTGATAGAAAGTGGGCCCCATGAATATGAGGGTACGGATCATCTCTCCTGTTCTTCCATTATAGACCCTTTCATTCCCCCACCTTGAGAATCCAGCCCTGCAATATATAACATCACAATAACACTAACTAAATTATCATCTTCACATAATTTAAGTCTTAACTGTTGAGGGAGGGGAGTTGATTTTCTAGCAAAAATACAGTAATAACTGGAGGAAATCAAATATGAAAGTATATTCTCCGCATGAAAAACTGACCTGTGAAGCTGCTCTGTTATGGATTCGACAGAGAGAGTAGAGAATGGGGTGGCATATTTCAATGAGCCACCACATGCAATGCCCTTCCCAAGGGCAGCCTCCAGTAGTTGGCCAGGAGTTTGTCTAGAGGGAAATGCATGAGGATTGATTACTATATCGGGCACTATCCCCTGTTTTGTGAAAGGAAAATTCTCCTGTGACTCAAGATATCCAAGAACACCCTTTTGACCGTGCATGGACGAAAACTTATCACCAAGACAAGGTGAACGGACCTGCATGAATTGACAACATGAAAGTGACTTATTAGTCACTAACAGAAGTGGATTTGAAGATGAAATTTAACCCAGAGCATACATGATACATTAGAACCCATCACATAATAGGTTTTACACACTATTTATAATGGAATGTCAACCAGAGCATACATTTTGTCACATCACAAAATGCTTTTTTATGATTAATTATCAGCCAGATCATACATATCACACATCACAAAATATGTTCACACATTTTTTATTTAACCCACATAATTGATCCAAAGCACATTATTTCATACCCAAAAAGAAAAAAAAAAGAAAAAAAAAAAAGCACACCATTACCTGTCTAAGTGATACAACTGCAAAATTCTTCCCATCATCATTTGCTGACAGGACAACTTTCTGCACCATGCCTCTTTCTGTATGCTTTAGCTTGACACTATGATCAGCCCCAGATTCCGCACATCTGCCGATGATAATATCTCCACTCTGCAAGTTTGCTCCAATGTATGGAAATCCATCGTCATCAAGGTTGTCAACCCGTCCTATTTTGCTCTGTATCTTCCCAAAACTAACAGTATCGTCAAACTTCCTCCTCTTTTCTGATGATTCCTGGTTGTCAACTTCAGCCTTGTAACTCCTGGTGTGCTCAGTCCTAAACATGCCTCGTTCCAGGGAAGCTCGATTCATGACCAAAGAATCTTCTTGGTTATAACCAAGATGGACATTTACGGCAACAATACCATTTTGACCATTAAAAAATTCTGCCTTTGGAAGTATCTGGTTGCGGCCTAATGGATATCCTGGCTTTCCAAGACAATCAGAAATCACCGAACGGAAGAGAGGTCTTTGAGGGTAGTACATTTGGTGGGACAAGGTATCTACTCTAATATTGGGGTTAGTGCTGGAATATCCTATGGCTTGTCCAGAATGCTTCTCAGATTGGTAAAGAACCCTCCTAGCATGATCATGATTTGCAAAGGGGATAATACCACAACTGACTCCCAACAAAAATGACATGTCAAGCTCACAATGAGTGTATTTGACAGGGTCTTTTCCCTTGTCTTCAAAAAGGAACTTAATTCCCCATGCAGTGCGACAATCTTCTTCCTCTTCAGTCCCAATCAATTCTATTATTCCTTTTTCTAGAAGGGTCTCAAAAGAAAACTCATCCCCTTTCAATAACTTTGTCTTTTTTAAATTATCAACTACTAAAAGAGGTCGAAGTATTCTTCCAGCATCACAGAATATTCGCACTTCAGAATTTTGAACATCACGTTTGATTTCAACCTAAAAGTGCCAACAAGGCAACAATATGTTATTTTTCATGAGCCAGAAGCATCGTGTACACAGTAACTTATACTAAACAAACACACAAATGTGGATAAGATAGTGAAAGCCCACTGTCTGACGAGGGGCTCAGACTACAGATATAATGAGAACAACACAATGAATCCAAAAAATAAAAGGATATCATAGCATAAACAAATTTGAGGGACAGACTAAGGGTCTAAAAGGAGATCCATAGTTTTTAGCAGCATACAAAAAAAGATGTTACAAACCAAGCACCGCAAATGTGGGATCATGAATCAATGTAATGAAAAGATTACTGGAAAAAAGAACACATGCGCACGATAGTAACTAGCAGCTATCAGGAACCAAGAACAATAATTCTAAAACGTGATAGATTCAGCTTTACAATCCAGAACAAATGTAGAAAAATGAAATAGTACCTGGCTTGAAATGCGATTCTTCCGACGCTTTCTTCTCAACTCCTGAACAAAGGAGAGGGAATCAGCACATACTCCTTCCCACTCGCCATCCACAAAAACCTTGTCTTTTCCACTCAGCGAAGTACAAGTGTCGCTCACTAATTTTTCCATCCCACACCTCACCAAATTATCAGACAGGTCATTCTTACTAATACTGCAACTGACAAGTCCAGTAGCAGCTATGTTCTTCACAAGACCACAGTTCTCCCCATCCGGTGTAGACAAGAAGCATATTTTTCCCCAGTGAGAAGGGTGTCTGAAATCATAGATGCAAATTTAATTAGAGTACCCAATGTAACTTAGGCTATATTATCTTCACCTAATTTAATTTGTTCTGATTCGAATTTTCTAAGGTCACCTGAATCTTTCTGGTCTGGCCTGAATTGTTATCTTTATAATATTTTGTATAGTCTAGTGTCAATTTTCAGGTCTGGTCTTAATTTTTCAGATCTGGTCAAGTCTAGTATGTTGTGATTTTAACAAGGATAAATAATTAGAATAAGGTGAAGAGAACAAAGCCTTGATGGTTGTGACAATAAAAGACAATGATTGATCCATCATATCATCTGAAGGATGTGGCATGTGGGGGATAATGGGTCATGTGTATGATCTTCAAACACCTACTATTTAAGCATTATCCACTTTTGTTTCTTCTATCTATCTCAATGTGTACAACTGGTTGCATTTCTAAAAATCTTTTATTGAGCCTGATTTTCTACTTATGACACTAGTTAGGGATTTTTCGCAAGGCTGTAAATCACTAAGGAGAATTCCTTAGCATTATTCTCCACTTCTTTTTAATACTATTTTCCTAATTTATTTGAGTTCGTCCATTTTTTTACTTTCATTCGTTGATTTGAAGTCATTTCAGTCTTAGAATACATTTACAATTAGAAAAATGTTCAAACATACCTTAATAAGGTTATATAAAATAACTTTATATACTTATATACATGTCAATTGAAAACCCTTTGTGTCCCAACGAAGATGTTGTGACCTTGTTATTGTTCTGTGTTATTAAGTTTTAACTTATGCATTGCATGGGTTTGAAAGACAGTCATTCGTTTTGATTGTGCATGACTGCATGCCCTACATAAAATTCATCTAAACGCCACTAAATGAGTGAAAAAATTCAGGTGCATATTTAAAATAAAGTAAAAAGTTGCCAAAGAAAGGGAGAGCATAAAGCATCAAATATTACTAAATCTATCATTATCTACATTTAAGGGAATGAGGAGAGAGCTTAAGCTTAAGTGAAGCTAAGAAAAGAGACTGATTCAGAACATAAGTCAAACTAAACAACAAATTGACCTCCTATCCCCAATAACGAAAAAAAAAAGAGAGAAATCACTCATTTCAAAATTTGAACATTTTAAACCACAAAAGAGATATATGGGTATAAGACAAAACTTTGAAATACTTACGGGTATCTGGCATCTCCAACCTTCCCTGTGTATGAAACCTGCTGACGAGTTTTCCTCATATCACAAGTACTCTGCAACGGATTAGTTCGCCTGAGGTTTGCAACCACACCAGAAACCCTGTCTGTTTTCTTGAAAGGATGCGCCCATGCACCAGTGGAAAATGATCTGGTAAGACCATTGGTGACGATTGATGCATCCAAGTAGTGCTCGATAGCCTGCAGATCACGATCCCCATAAAGGTCCCGCTGCATTGCCTTCACCATTCGCTTCTCAGCATGCCTCATATGGACCCTAAGTTCCCTCTCTAGAAGCTCAGAAGCACACTCAAGTCGCTTATTTCTAAAGTCATCTCTATTATCACACTTTCTCCTGCCTGAAAATGCTTGCAAAAGACACTTAACCATATATCCAAGAAAGCGGGCTTTTTGCTTGTTCCCAGAAAGGCTAGGGAAAAGGTTTGTTTCGATAAATTCTGCAGTGGACTCAGAGGGAGGGAATTTAGATTCTCTTATTATATGGTCAATATGCTCCAAAGCTTTGCCACCACGACGAAATCCATCACATTTCTCATCAGCATCGTGAATGGATGCAAAGAGGATGTTACTGATGCGGCCATCATCCGTGCTGAAATCAATTAATTCCACCACCTCCTTGTCAGATGATACACCAAGGGCAAAAAAAAGTATCCAAATAGGGACTTCTGCAATAGAAAAGTACACACTGATAACTTTTTCTCCTCCTTGGATGTTTTCAGCTTTTGGATTCTCTACTAATTTGACATGTACCCTTCTCCTCTTGAACTCAGATCGATAAGCAACCTTCCAAAAGGGTTCATTAGAAATCCAAAGCCTCTTCAAGCAGATCTGTTCTTGAGCAATAAATGTCTGCAGTTACCATATCCAAGATAACCCAGGTCAAAGCAAAATAAAGAGTGACCATGATTATTTTTGTAAGAACTAAGACATGAGTTCAACTGATTGCAGAGCAGTTTGAAAAATAAAAATTTGAAATACAACCAATGGTAATACAAGTGCAGTTGTGCAGATAGCCACCAATATAAATTGCAGTTTAGTATCTAGCAAGTTCAAAACATTAACTTAGTCAGATATTATTATTTAGCTTCACCGCAGTGGACAGAACAAGATGCGGTAAAAACTGACAACAATAGGCAGCAATTATAGAGATACAACCTATGAACTAGAACAAGCTGCAATAAAGGCACAAGATAACTTTTCAGATTATAGGAGAAATGGGATTTTAAAAAAATAAAAGGTCACTCATCTCCACAAAATAATGAATAAAACCCATGGATAAGATACGGGGAAATGTTGACCTACCTTCTCAGCACCCTTGACTATAAAATAGCCTCCATGATCAAATTCACAATCACCTTTCTCAGCTTGACTCATCCAGCATATATCAGACTTCACCATCACAGGGATCCTTCCAACGATGACATCCGTTGTTTCATCTTTCACGATAGTTCTGTCTATATACTCTGACTTACCAGTTTTAAACTTGTCACTTTTGACCTTCTCTTGGGTATATATCTGAGAATCAAAATCAGCCATGAACAAACAAATGAAAACAATAAAATAAAGACAATAATCAATATAGTAAAATGGCATAAACCGCAATGCAAAACCTATTTTAAAAAATGCAAACTCAAATGTTACTCTCGTTAAAGTCGCATAGGATATCTCAATCACATCAACATTTGAATAGTTGCATAACTTAAGTATGTAAAGCAGGAATAGGCTAGCCTGGGAGATGGGAATGAGTTATACTCTGTATGTCTTACTATTCAAAATTGTAATTCTACCAACACAGCTCTTATAGGAACGTAAAGCAAAGAGGGGATATAATGGATTGAAGACAGTGCAGACGACTAGACAATAGCTTGTGATGGGACTTGTCATACTAATGGAAATTATTATCCAAAAGATGGAAATTATTATCATACATAAGAAGCTACTAACATTCAGGCTCCAGATAAAAGTGGAAAGAAGAAAGAACACAAATATTTATAATCTCATTTTATGGGCTTTGAGAGCTCAGCTAAACAAATTAAAATTTTCAGTAAAAAAATAATAGCTGAATTCATAAAATAACAAGTACAAATGAACTCTCATGTAGTCTCCAAGTGATCACATATTCAAAAAAACAGAAACCATACCTATTATTACATAACTATAAAGAGAGGGCTTTTGAAGGAAACATTACACAACGAGGATATTTTACCATCATCTAATAAGGGGCAATTTTACTGTTACAGTAGACACTGGACAGTACAGTAGCCAAGACAAAATAAAGCAGACAGTGAGGGGGAACAGACAGTCTCACTAACTAACAGCATTCTGTGGCAAATTTTAAATTATTTTAGTCACATTAAACAAACCTGAAGGTGAGTCTCAACTTTCAATCTTGCAGAGTAAGTCATGTTCTGAAGCCGGGCATGTCGGGGAAGCAACTTAATGAAGTCTTTCCCACCATCTGCATGAAACTTCTCTCCAGTCCAAAACATAGGACGCTCAAGCTCCACATTCCCAAATCTTACCGAAGCATATCTCCATCCACCCTCACCCTTCTTCGAGGGATCATAGCCTGGATTCACAGTTATCTCACCAATGTTATCAAAAACTCTCTTTATACCTTCACGGACAAAACTGTTGTAGGAGTTAATCTGATGACTGATGAGACCGTGCTGCTTGAAGAAAGATGACGATGCTTTCTTGCAGAAGTTCATCAATGAAGCCTCACCAAGGTCATGCAAGCTCATGTCCATAACATCAGCATCGTCATCCGAATACATATCCTCATCATCCCAGGTCTCCAGATCAATATCATCAAAAACATCTTTACCGTTACTACTGGTGCCCAGGCCATCTTTTCCCTCAAGCCCCATCTATTAGGAATCAACATGTATGATGGGATTATATTAAAACATATCATGATGATGCAGCTTTTAAACGATAAAGGCTAAAAACCACAACTGCAAGGCTGTAGCCACTAGCCAGTCATCTTTAATATTAATACTCGTACATCATAATTCAAATAACTAGAATATGGAACAACAAGATTTTAACATTTTAATTGCTACACTTTGCATGTTGTTTGAAGTGAACTCATGTATTAAACTAACAGATGGCTAAGCATTGGATAAAAGGTAAGTAAGCATCAAATACAAGAATGGTATTTCATCTATAAGATTATGATTTATAACCACTGTATCCGAATCGCTATCATAATACACTGCATCTTTTACACTTACATGTATCCTTTAAGCCTTTTTTTTATGAAAGAACTCTGAATAAGTATCTGAATCTTTGATAGCAATAAATAAATTACTTCATACCCAAAAAAAAAAAAAAAAAAAAAAAAAAAAAAACCTTCAATATTCATGCTATTTCTTTACTTTACAAACAAAATCCTAAAGCACTCAAAAGCTAATATCAAATATTCAAATAGAGTAGAAGAAATTGCCAGAAAATAAGAAATAAACATCATCGACCGATAGCAACAATACCTATTTTCAGGCCACTATTTTTCAAAAAAAATTACTCATATATTTAACACAAAACTTTAATCGATGAATTAAGAAAAACTACATGCGACTATTTTATAGCTGCAAAATCTACATGTACGACAGCACATCTAATATCTATTGAAATTATGGAGGCCACATAATTAAGCACCAGCTTTTCCAGGACATTTGGAAAGTCCATATATTGTAGATAACAAATTTTTTTGCTCCGTAAGACAGCAAATTAGAATATCAAACTACACTAAACCTAATTTTTGTTCAGCCAATTATACAACTATAATTCTTTATGAACAAAACTCTATCATACCAATGACAAGGACAGTACTTGGATTTGCTGGGATTTATTCAATGAACAAATGACATGCAACACCAAATAAATTATACCCATTTAACAAATTTCAACATACTATTAAACCAAAATCTTCCCATTTGAAAAAATTACAATTCAGAAATTTCATCATCTATAAAAACGACTAAAAAAATCATCATTTTTCCTACCATATGAAGATCAAAAATGAAACCCAGATTCCCAGTCATAAAAGGACATAAACCCTAAAAAACAAAACTTTATTAAACCAAAAGATTCCCATTTGAAAAAATTACATTTCAGAAATTTCATCATCTAAAAAAAACATCATTTTTCCTACCACATGAAGATCAAAAATGAAAAGAAATTTTAAAATAAAAAAAAATTTAAAAAAAAAACAGATTCCCAGTCATAAGACAACATAAACCCTAAAAAATAAAACTTTATATTTCTCTTCACATCAACACCCAACAAAATTCCGAAATTACATATAAATCACATGCATTCTTAAAAAAAACACCCAATTTCACACATTTCAACATTCAAACAAATACCCAGAAGTCAAAATTCCAAAATTTCTGAAATTCAACAAAACCCAAGTCTATAAAATCGATGAACTAAAGAGAGTGAGACAGAATTACCTTCAAAGCTTAAACCCAGAAATGAGGAGAGAGAAAATAAAAAAGGGTTCTTTGTTATCAATTTCTGAGTCTCACAGTGGAGAGTGAAAAATGCAGAATCTGGGTGGAGGAGAGAGAAAAGGGTAGTTGGGAAATTGTTAAAAGAAAGCATAAAACCCCATTGATGCGCAATGAAGCTCCGTAGTGTGGGGTTTTGGGTATCAGTAGAAACTGGGAATTGCTATCCTGTGCCCAAGTGTACACTTCAATTCTCTGAATCTATTGTTGTATTGATGTACTCGTATGAAGTACTTCGTATGAGTGTATGACTAATGTTTGTCTATGATTGATGAAAATCAAGGGCGTAAAATGATTGAATGAGTTTCTTATGGTGAGGTTGACTGTAGTGTTTCTTTTTCTGGTGCCGGATTCCCTCCCAAACAAAGAAGAAAAAAAAGAAACTTTAGATTTTTTATTACGAAGTACGTAGTATTTATTTATTGGTACAAACAATTTGGATATGTGAACGACTTAATATTGATATTTTTTTTTTAGGTGCAAACTTAATGTTGATACTAGAGTGTATCTCGGGCGATGCTTCGGATTGCTCGTTTGAGTAATTCATTAATTTGATAATTATGTTCAATTAATCAATTGTGTGTATAGTTGGTGTGTAGTTTGGGCGTTGCCTCAGGTTGCACTTTTTTTTACCTCATATATATTTATACTAGATGGAAGCTCGTGAGATACATGATTTTTTCATCTAAGATTTTTAATTATTTGATTTATTGTATTTAATAATTTCAGACAAAATTACAAAAGTTTAATATTTATTTTTATTACTATAATTTATAATGAATTTATTAAATATAAATAAATTTTAAATATGATATTTTTTCCGTTATATAAAATCTTTAATGTGAAATGATAAATTTTTAATAATTTAAATCCTAAATCATTATTCATTGTTTTACCATATCTTTTATTTCGATAGAATCACCAACCTCGTCCACAACTAACCTACTACAAACAAATTTAACCGTGAAATGTTAGCCAAACTGATATTGATATAAATTAAATATTTACATTTATATAAAATAAATCAATATATTTACAAAAATTGTTGCGATATAAAATCAAATCTATGCATTGAAATTTTTTCATCATCTCCAAAAATAACCAAAATCATCCATATATTAAGTATACAACATCAAATCGTATGTCATTACATAAACAAATAATCGTTAAGTATCCTAAATAAATACAATGTAACTCTAATTACAAATATAAAGTTAAACATAAGATTCTAAAAATTACCCGGACATTGATAACCTAAATCTAACACAAAATTATTAACACAAAATTCGCTTGATGGGGTTTTGTATTGATACGAAATTTAATTTGTGTCGTATGATGTGTTAGATCTGCATTACAAATATAAATTTAAACATAAGATTCTAAAAATTACTCGGACATTGATGACCTAAAACTAATACAAAATTACTAACACAAAATTCGCTTGATGGGGTTTTGTATTGATATGAAATTTTATTTGTATCGTATGATGTGTTAGATCTGCATGTAAAAAAACATTTAGTAAATAAAACATAAACATATAATCGTTGAGTATCCCAAATAAATGCAATGTAAGTAATAATTAGAAATACTAATTTAAACATAGGATTTTAAAAATTAAGCTAAAAATTACCCCGCCATTGATGACCAAAAATTAACACAAAATTACTAACACAAAATTCGCTTGATGGGGTTTTTAATTGATAGGGGTTTTTTATTGATACGAAATTTTGTTTGTGTCGTATGATGTATCAATTTATAATGGTAGGTATCACAAATTTTAATTTAATTATAATTAACGAACAATTTGTATTTCTTATCATATATACTATCAAAATTTATCTTATAATAATAGGTATCAAACTTTATTATAAGCGTTTACCATTTAAATATTTCTTAGTATATTTTTTTTTGGATTTCTTATACTCGTAGTATTGAATTAATAAACTTATCTTTTCCTATATTTTTACTTTATTTTTTTCATTAAAATAATTTAATTCGAGGATTATAATTTACGTGGAATTAAAATTTTAGATATATCAAATCTAATTTGTTACTTTTATCTATGTGGTGACATAATTTTTTAATTCAAAAATAAAATACAAATCTTTCTTCTTATTGGGTCGAAATAAGTACATTTCTTATGTAGCGCTCCGAATGCTCTCCAAAAATGCCTACTTTATTTATATATATTAGATTTATCTTGTGAAAAATAAATAAATTATATTACTTCTAATTTACTTAATAAATGAAAGGAATATATAATATTATTATGTGAAATTTAAAACATTAATAAAAGTTGGTTGAGATGGTAAACATATTACCTATATGTATCAGAGGTTACTTTGAAGAGTGTCACGTAGCACCGTTCCTTTGAAAGGAACGCCTTTTAATATATAGCATAGATTAGTGTGTGGTTAACTAGTATTTTGTGTATAATTTAACTTTTTGTAAAAAGTTTTGAACATTATTATTAGATTATTAATATGGACAAAGTTAATGTTTACGGAGGATGAAACAGCTCATGAGATATTTGAACTCAACTTGATTAGAATTGATACAACTCGTGAGATATTTGAGCTCAACTTGGTTAGAAATTGATCGAGGAATAAGAATATTTAGTTGAGCTGAAGAATCAAAAAGAAAAGGAAATAAAGTTTATTCAAGCACATGTCATGTTTTGATTTAGGTTCTCTTTTAAGAACCTATTTCAACATAATTGGATTTCAATTTTGAGGAACCTATTGCAACATGTTCCATTTTCGCTTCTAGGTACTCTGATTTTCAGCTCCCCCTTATAGTGATGAGGAATTGAGGATTGTTTGTATTTGTTCTAAGTAGAGGCAGAGCCAACGTGGGACAAGAGGGAACAGCTGTCCCCCCACTTTAAAAAAAAAAATAGTTTAAATACATTATTTTGTGCATAATGATTTATACCAGATGCAATGGTGCAGCAATCGAAGTAGTAATTGAGGAGCTTGTGATCGCGGGATCAAACCCCTCGGATACCATCTGAAACACTTATTTTTGAATAATTACATAATGACTATATATAAAATTAAACCCGCAGCATTGATAAACAATTAATTGTTGTCTTCTTGGTTAGCGAGAGTTTATTTTCAAGAGGAATAGGGTGAGGTTCGATCTGGCTTGAAATTTCTGCCTCCACCAGTGGTTCTAAGTTACCTTTGGTGTTCATCTATACCTGGCAATATGTAGGGTATTATGATCAGTGGCGGAGCCAAGATTTTCAACTTGGGGGGACAAAATCGTACACCGAATCTTCCTCTAAGTATTGGACTCATTTTCGTTGGACCCATTTTTATTGAGTTTCGTTCTTTTAAACAAGAATTGTCGAAGATCGGGTTGTTTAGTTGCCTTGGATTTGTTTGAATTTGGTGAATCTTTTGACATTTCCTAATTAAATTGAAAATTATATATCAATTTCCACAATCCACATCATTACATAATAACAAAACCTAAGATTCTAATTTCTAAATTTCTAATTCAACTATACATTTCAATAATTTAAATTCTCAAAAACAGGGGAAAAAAATTAAATACCAATAATTCAGAGATTAAACAATTCAATTTTCAATAAGTTCAATACTTCAAAGTTCAAAACTTCAATACCCACAAATCAACAAATGACAAATCCACAATCATTCTCAATCGAAATTAAACAAGTTGATATATACAACAATTTCATCAATTAAACAAGTAATAAGTTGAAATTCGTCTTCAATACCCACAAATGACAAAATCGTCAAATCCACAATAATTCTCAATCGAAATTAAAAAAGACTAACAAGTAATAAGTTGATATATACAACAATTTCATCAATTAAACAAGTAATAAGTTGAAATTCAGATTTACATACCTCCATTGATTTGGGTGAATTGGGTCTAGCGAAGACCGGAAGACCGAAGACAGCAAGACACCCGCCACCAACACCGACACCGCACACCGGCGACACGAACTGTCGTCTGTCGAACTCCAAGTCGCGAACTGGTGATTTGGGTGAACAGAACCGGCGACGGGAGCAGGGGTGGAGCCAATAAAGGGCGGAAGACCGAAGACAGCAAGACACCCGACACCGCCACTGGACGGGAGAAGACGCGAACGAACCAACGAAGTGCCGCCGACGAGCCTGACTGCCTGAGAACTCTAAGTCTCCAACTTTCGAACTTCGAAGAGAGAGAAATTGAGAATTGTGAAAGTTAGGGTTTAGTTTTGCAATTTCTTTTCTTCTTCTTTCTGTCTCACTTCAGTTTTTTTTTTAATTTTTTTTCTTTATTTTTTTTTTTTTTAAAATTTTTTTTTTTGAAAATGGGGGGACAAGTGTCCCCACATGTCCCCTTCTAGCTCCGCCCATGATTATGATGTTTTAGTACTTGGTACTTTGTGATATTATCAGATAGTGAACATGCCTTGAGAAGAAGAGCTTCCTTAGCCTTTTTAGCTAAGCTATCTTTCTTCTTTACCAGAGTCTTTTTAAAGGGATAGGGATACGCAGGAGTCCAAATGTTTGAATATACAATGCATGTTGTTGTTAAAAGGCAAGAATCATAATCATATAATGGATGAACAAATGGTCTTTGTTCTCCACAAGCAAATCTATGAATATGAATCACTTTTCGAGGTGATTGTGTGTTTTTTTTTTACTTGGTCGTAGATATAATCAAATACTGAACCATGCATGTTAAAGGTACCCAAGGAAATTGGGGTACGGGTTTTCATACCGAGAATAATAAGGTTAAATTGACAAAAGGAGTGAAGATTTGAAACAGCAAGAGGAGCATATCTAGCATTATTCTTCTTCAAAGACACAATAGTTATATACGAGTACTTATATACTTAGTAATTCAATGGAGTACATCAATAATGAATTTAGTAATTTAGCAAATGAAAGATTGCTTTTGAGAATGTTCACTTCATTAGTTCAAGTTATCGATCTCATCATTCTCAGTTGAACGAAGCTAAATACAAGTTCAAATGTCAATCTAGACGCCGAAGAAGGTATTCAACTTCAACATCTTTAGTGAGAGGAATCACCCATTCATCATAAAGACGAGAGACCAATGAAGGATCAACCTTGTAGTCATTGGAATTACTTGTGTCATTGAGGGTTACTTCCTGCCCGAAAACCTTGGTTTTCTTCTCAATTCTTTGCTTCACCATTGCTTCCACTTTACTATCTGTCAATAGGTTCATAAGAGTATCTTTGTCCTGAATCAAGAATTTAAGAGAACAGGTCAGAGAAAAAGATTTGATTCTACTTGATATAGGAGAGAATGCTGTTTATCTATGATTCAGCATAGTAAGATTACTTACTTTTGCGCGAATGGCAGCGCTATATGCTTCAGTCTCGCTTCTGAACTTTACTTCAGCTACATATTTTCCAAAATGTATTCTCCTAGATAACACCTGAATGATAAACGGTATTCAATCAATGCCATGTGAAACATACTGATTCAGGATTTTGGCCA